CAGATTCTCCAGCATCTGCAGTTCCTACTATCTCCATAAGTTAAGTTGCTATTTGAACAAGATAGCACGATTTCACAAGCACTAGCTGTACTATGGTTTGTAAAAGTAGGCAATGTTTTTATTTCTACAGATTGTTGGTTAAGTGAGTTTTTTTTAAAAGGAAGATTTTGTATTTCTAATTTGGGTTTATACACTGTTTTCTCCCTTGTTACCATCAGCTTATAATAGTACATTGGTTTGCAAATAGGATCTATTTTAACTATTGGCGAGAAATCAATTATAACTCAGTGATTGAGTGTTGATACCAACTCAGTATAAAAGTCTATTGCTTTGTTTATATAAAGACAAATAGTGCAAAGTGGTTCATTATTGAATCAGGTGCAGATGGGTGTAGTGAAATCACATACCAAATCATACCCCCTCATCTGCCCAATTATTCCTAACCAGACCTTATGAATAACATATCAAATTCCAACCTTATACTTAGACATTATTGTTATTAATGTGACTTCAGTAGAACATGGATAAACGACAACGCAATCTACTTAATATCTGATTGAAAACCCATCTTCTAAAGCACCACCCTTACACGGAGAGACATACACAGTTAAGAGATAAAGTAAAAGAGAAAATAAAACATTGTAATTTGTCAGTTTAATGGTTTCACAATGGCTACAAGGTCTTCAGAAATTCTTGAATGATGCACCATATTCCAAGCACATCAGAATTCAAACAATCACCAATTCATGCAAACAACTTCTGGAGACAGTAACCTGACATACAGGTTGGTGTTCTTTCCTCAAAAGAAAAGGCATGAGACAAAGGGAGCTACTAGAACTTTATCTGCAGCCTTCACACCACACTGACTTCTCTCAAAAAGAAAGTCAAAACTAGTTCAGTCTTTAGTTTCTGTTTTCAACAATGTCTTTAATTGACCCTTTTAACATCCCAGCACTTACCGGTTCTTGAGCGTAATACATCTCCGGTCTGAAAAACACGTGGTGGTCTTAACTAATAATTAAACTGTCGATAACTTCCATGCAAGTTCCCATAAACAAATATCAGTTTGTGCTTTTTTTTTAAAAGAAAGCTGCTGCTCACAGTTCCAAACCAAGAATTAGAAATGAAAAGAAAAGCAGTGATGGTTCCCAACATTATTTTTATTCATTTAGAGTTAAGAGTTAACGCCATTGTTGTGGACCTGGAGTCATGGGTGGGCTAGGACAGGTAGTGATGGCACATTTTCTCCCTTAATAGACTTTACTGAACAAGATGGGTTTTTACATTTGACCAAGGTTACATGTTTACCATTAGTTTAGCTTTTTATTCCAGATTGTTTTTGATTTCACGTTTCACCAGTTGCCATTGTAGAATTCAAGCCTACATCCCTAGAATGATATGAACTGAAAGAACTGTGGATGCTGTAAATCAGGAACAAAAACAAAGTTGCTAGAAAAGCTCAACAGGTCTGGCAGCATCTGTGGAGAGAAATCAAGTGACCCTTCCTCCAAACTGATGATAGCTAGGAAAATGTTGGTTTATACGCAGAAGATAGGGTGAGGGAGGGTGTAAGGAGTAAACGATAGGTGGGGATAAAGCCCAAAGAGAGAGAAACAGTTGGACAGACAAAGGAATGGATAACAATCTGGCTAGGTGGGTGAATAGCTATTAGTGGGACTGTTAGCGGCTACAATGAGTTATGTGTAATAGCAGTCTATGTGATAACAAGATCTGGTGTGTGGGACTTGGGATAAGGACATGGGAGAGTCTAAGTCATAAAGTTACTGATACTGAGTCCAGAAAGCTGCAGGGTGCCCAAGTGGAAAATGTGGTGATGTTCTTTCAGCTTGCACTGAGCTTTGCTGGAGCAGTGCAGCAATCCTGAGACAGAGATGTTGGCCAGGGAATATGGGTAGTGTGTTAAGTGGCAGGCAACTGGAAGCTCATGGTCTTTTTTTTGTGTGGACAGAACTTAGGTGTTCTGCGAAGCTGTTGCCCAATCTATGCTTCATTTCCCCAACGTACAGGAGACCACATTGTGAGCAGCAAATGCAGTAGACTAGAGTGCGGAAAGTGCAGGTAAAGTGCTGCTTCACCTGGAAGGTATGTTTGGGCCCTTCGATCCTGGGGACAGAGGAGGTAAATGGACAGGTTTTACATCTTCTGCGGTTGCAGGGAACGTGCCACAAGGTTGGGGGAGGGACGTCTTGGGAGTGAAGGAAGAGCGGACTAGGGTGTCCCGAAGGGAACGGTCCCTGTGGGAAGGCTGACAATGGAGGATATCGGGAATATGTGCCTCGTTGTGGCAAAAATGGCAGGTAATAATTCTAATTATTATTTTACTGATGCCATGCATTTGTGCGATGAGGGTGTCGCTGGCTAGGCAGCATTCCTAATTGTCCAGAGGGCAGTTAAGAGTCAACCACATTGCTGTGGGTCTGGAATCACATGTAGGCCAGACTAGGTAAGGATGGCAGTTTCCTTCCCTAAAGGACATTAGTGAACCAGGTGGGTTTTTGGATGGAAACTGGCAATAAAACAGCTGCCTGCTTCAGTGGCTCCTTCTTTGGGTTTTAAGAACAGCAAGCAGTAAGAAAAGCCCTGAAAAACACATACACTCCAAAAGCTTAAAACTAGGAGCAAATTACTGCAGATGTTGGAATCTACACTGGAAACAAAAGATGCTGGAAATCACAGCGCGTCAGGCAGCATCCATAGAGAGAGAGCAAGCTAATATTTCGAGTCTAGATGACTCTTCATCACAGTGCTCCATTTCGAGAGCTTAAAACTGTATTTTTTAAGCATTGATTTCAAATGTTATTGTATGCCACACTACAGGAAATTGAAATATACTCTGCCTTTCTGCTGAAACTCCAGCACAATAAAATTATGCTCTGTCACATATACCATCTCTCACGTTGAAAGGCTTCGTCTATTCAAGTGAATGTAGTAGATCGGTGAACGTAATATGGCACTACTTTATAGAAGAAATGAGTTATTCCCGTGGCCAGAATGTATCCCTCAGTAAACATATCACATTGCTGTTTGTGATAACAAGGTGTAGAGCTGGATGAACACAGCAGGCCAAGCAACATCAGAGGAGCAGGAAAACTGACGTTTCGGGTCTGGACCCGTCTTTGGAAATTGCTGTTGTGGTAGCTTGCTGTGTGCAAATTAGTGGCTGCAATGTTTTACAGCAGTAACTACACTTGAAAGTACTTCGTTGAAAAGTGCTATATAAATGCAAGTTTTCCTCCTTCTTCCCCACCTTGACTGAGTGGTAAACCTCAGCGAGAGGATGGTTTCTTTGTCGGACGTGGGTTCACCTGGGCACAGACGGCGCCAACTCAATTAATCCGGAACAAAGCAAAAAGAACAAATGCTGCAAAACTAACCACAACGTAACGAAGCAACACAACGACATTGCGTGCGAAAAAAAAACCAAACTGAACAAGGACGAAGCAGCTGCTCCATCGCTTGGCGAGTTTGTAACTGTGGAGGAGTGAAGTTAGCTCGGAAGGGAATGTTTCGGGGTTGTTTCCTGTGGCATTCAGCCGATCCCTGAGGTTACTTCGTATGGGAGGGAGTGCAGCTCGCTGTATTAGTGCTGGCCTCTCTCTCCAGTCTCGACACCGCAGTAAGGGGCTGATAGTGGCGGCCGCCCAGGCTATGGGAATGGGGGGCAGCGGCAGAGTGAGCCTAGGGAGCCTGCCCTTCGACAACGTGGCTCTGCGCTCGCTGCCCCTCGACCCGTCCCAGGAGAGCGGCTCTCGCCAGGTACCGGCCGCCTGCTTCTCCAGGGTCCGCCCGGCTCCCCTCCACCAACCCCGGCTGGTCGCCTACTCGCTGCCGGCCCTGGAGCTCCTGGGGCTGCAGCAGGACGAGCTGCAGAGCTCGGAGCTGGAGCTGGCCGAGTACTTCAGCGGGAACCGGGAGCTGCCGGGCTCCGAGCCCGCCGCCCACTGCTATTGCGGCCATCAGTTCGGTAACTTCGCCGGGCAGCTAGGGGATGGAGCGGCTATGTACCTGGGGGAAGTGGTTAACAGCCAGGGACAGAGGTGGGAGCTACAGATCAAAGGAGCTGGACCGACCCCTTACTCCAGGTCAGGAACACAAACTAGGGCAGGTCTGTTAGGCCGTCTCTACTCTCTGTTAGGCCTTTTCTTTTACTGTGTGCGTTGACTCTTGGAGGCCGATTACAAAGACCTATTGGGGCTTGTAAGCCCCAGTGTAAGGGGCGATTATGAGCTTCACTCTAAACTAAATTCCTTCCGTTTTCTTCCTCCACGCCTGTTTTTCATTTTTTTAAAAAAACAAAATCACTCTTTATAACGCATGGAACTTATTTTTGTAGATATTTGTGACTAAGTGGCGCTTATCCTGCTGAGTAACTATCTTGCAGCAGAGTTGTCTGTTTCAGATAAGTACAGAGTTTAGGGCAGAATGTATTTCTGCCGTTAAACCCTGATAACTCCTCGTTCCTGGGCCTTCAATTTTAAAACGTTCGCTTTCCTTTCACAGGCATCACTGCTGCCTGCTCAGCCTTACTGGGGAGGCCACAATGGCTAACACTTGGGCCTCTGAGCTAGAAGCCTCAGAGCCTAATGTCTGCCAGGAAGGTGCATTCATATTAATGAACCTAATCCTGTCAATGGGAGACGTTAAGGCAAGGAGAGATTCCGGGTCAACCATGCGTTGGAAACAAAGTTGGAGCCTCGACCATCGCCATCCCTAGTTTGACCGCAACATGCATATAAAAGTGCATGGTGCCATAGAAATGCAGAATCCCTGAGTGATGTGTAACATATCAAACCTGATAGCCCCTCTGCACCTTCCATTGTGAACCTGTTCTAGATGTGTACACAATTGCATCACCCCTCACCCCAGTCACATCATTGCTGTGCCTTCTGTGATGCTATTGCATTCAGCCACCTCAGCCCCACACACTGTATTTGGTGCCTAAGCACTTGAGCCTCTCCATCTCCTCCTCTTCAAAGAGCACACATCAAAACCCATGTCATTCACTGAGCTTTTGGGCAAACCTTTCAAACACTGGCATTTGCACATCATTTAATTCAGGTTTTGCCTTTGTGTGTGTTGCTTTGTTAAAATGATGTACAAATTTGTTGGCACACAATGCATCTGTTTTGAGCACAAACCTATTACAAGTTTATGTTGCCATATGCTGACATAA